CATCAGAAAAGCTTCCTTGACCAATTGGGTAGATCAAGAAAACAGCAGTCGCAGCTGCAACAGAAGCTGAATATGCAACAACAATCCAAGGTCGCATACCCAGACGAAAACTAAGCTCCCTCTCACGACCCATCTAACAAGCTACACCAAGTAAGAAGTGTATAAAAATTAGTTCATAAGGACCACCATTGTATAATTATTCATCAACGGATGCTGCTTCCCATATTGGGTAAAAATGCAAACCTATAGCTGCAGAAGTAGGAATAATGGCACCTGAAATAATATTGTTTCCATAAAGTAGAGATCCAGAAACAGGTTCACGAATACCATCAATATCCACTGGAGGAGCAGCAATGAAGGCGATAATAAATACAGAAGTTGCGGTCAATAAGGTAGGGATCATCAAAACACCAAACCATCCAATGTAAAGACGGGTTTCGGTGCTGGTTATCCAGTTACAGAAGCGACCCGATAGGCTTTCGCTTTCACGTCTCTATAAAATTGCAGTCATGGTAAAATCTTGGTTTCTTTAATTATCAGGGACTCCCAAACGCACAAATTTTCAAATGGAAAACTAAAGGCTTGTTATTTAACAGTATAACATGACTTATATGCGCGTGTCAACCAATATCTATCTGGATCTAGTTCAATTTTTTGTAAATCAAAAGCGGTTTGCAAAAATATAAAAAAGGATTTCTATACACTATGCATATAATATAATTTCACTATGACAATGGGTTGCCCGGGATTCGAACCCGGAACTAGTCGGATGGAGTAGATAATTTCCTTGTTAAAGTTAAATAAGTAAAAATCCCTCCCAAAGTCGTGCTTGCATTTTTCATTGCACACGGCTTTCCCTTTGTATACATCTAAAACTCAGTTCTTTCATTAGACAAGAAAAGATTGAATACTCAGTTGATTTCATCGTTACTACATACTACATCAATATTTCAGAATAGAAAGAAATAATTTTTTGTTAACTCTTCATTATTTACATTATTTATTAGATTATTTAGTGATGCAATTTATATTTACAAGGTTTCATAACGAATCATTCATGATTGGCCAAATCATTGATACAAATAATATCCAAATACCAAATCCGCCTTCTAGATAACCTTCGCGAAATGGAAGAAACCCTTGGAAAGGTCAGGGAAAAAACTTGTTCTTCTTCCGTTAAGAATTCTTCTAATAATTCTGAGCCGTATCTTTTTCATCCAATTTTCTTATGTAATATTCAAAAGAGGTAAGATTTTCGTACTTTAAACTCCTTTATGTCGTTGATTTTAAGCTTTTCAAAGTTAGGGTTCGCCATAGGATTTCATGTGCTAAATTGATCCGAGTTTTTGATAAATTGCTGCTGCATGTTTTATTTATGGACTTGGATTAACTTTTGGATGAAACCCCTAGTGATATTTAGGTTCGATTTGGCCGAGTTGTTGCCTGATGTTCATACTGTCGCCGAACTAAACTCACGACGTGAGGATTGACCCTCACGACGTGGTAACTGGGTTCACAACATTATTTGTTTCCTGTTTTAATTAATCTGTTGTGTTTTGTTCTTGGTTTGTTGTTTCATTAATTTTTTTAGAATCCATTGGACCAAAAAGATCAATACCTCAACATCAAGAAAATGTGGATGTCTCAAGTCTCCATCTACTTTATCGTTTCCACCAAGACATTCCCCAAGCTATGTTGAATAACTACACTAATCGTTTATGGTGGTTGCACAATCGGGTGTTCGCTATCGCCCTTTAATTAATTGGTCTTTGTTACATGGGGTTGGATTTTTAGAAGATGTGGAAAATATTAGCAAAAAAGATACATTGGCAATGGGTTCGGTTTTACGTGCAATGGTTGGCACAATCTTTTCACAATCCAAGAGTCGTTTATCGTGAAATTTCTGTCGATTTCTTTTCTATGGTTAACTAACCAATAAGGGTTGAAGTTAAGTTGCGTTTCTTAAACATATATATATATATATATATATATATATATATATATATATATATATAATTCTTTTTAGAATTTGTAGTTTTGAGTGAAAAAAGTGAGTTTTGAAAAAAAATTAGAAATAAAAGAAAAAAAATAGAAAGTTGGACAAAAATTACAAATATAAATATACATAGAACACCAATATGTAGTTTACACAATTTTCATTAATTGGTAGCTAGGTATAATATAAGAACATATTAAATGTGGTTATAAATGATAATAACCGCAATGTATGTTATCATATTCTTTAATATTCTTTAAGAGTGAAAAAAATAACGAAAAAATAAAATAAATCGAGTTCAGTGGCTAAAAAAAGCAAATAACTAAAATAAGATAATTTTAAAAAAAACTTAAATTGAGTTTTTTTTAGAAAAATGATAATTATTTTTTTAAAAAAGATTTATGAGTTCAAGATCTAATATAGCATGATCATAAGGCTAAATGATATCATTTTACCCTCACTTAGGCCATGTTGGCAGAGGGAATTGACTAACCGAGTGCGTGAGGTAAGAAATAAACAAAAACGAAAAAAAGTTAAAACTTTATAGTTTAGTAATTTGGAGGTTTAATGGTAATTTGAGTCATAACACCAATAATATAAGAAAAATAAAAACTACAAAAGACAAAATATATACTTAAAGAAACTAAAAAAAAATTAAATAAGGGATACAATCAAAAAATCAATGGTACATATACATTTCCATTTAATTATAAGTGTTGATTCGTAAACAAGTTTTACATACACAAAATTTTAATTTTTGCGTTAAATATTATATTGTACAATTTAATAAAACATAAATTTTTGTGTATATAGAAAAACTATTGTATAGAAATCAGTTTTTTTTAATGATATATACAAGAGAAAATTACAAAAATAGCCTAATATCATAATTACTTTGTGGAAAATAGCCAAAAAAAACCCAAATTACAAAAATAGCCACCAAAATCGTAGATGGACTCGGTCCATCTGCGATTTTACTAGTCCATCTGTGATTTTGCGTCCATCCGTGATTTCCCATTTTTCAGGGGTATAAAAAGTAATTTTTTTCCTTCTTTCATTTTTCAAACTTTTTTTATGGAGAACTCTCTCTAGACGCACTATGGACGATTTTATTTTTCAAAGTTTTTGTTAAAGAATTCATTTTATTAGAGATGTTTTAAACAAATGTTCCAAATAAGTAAGAACTAAATTTATAATTTTTTGTAAAACTTTATATATAATAAGATTGTTTCGTAGTTAAACCTTATCAATTTTATAGTCAAAATTTAAAAAAAAAAAACAAAAAAAAATGAAAAGAAAAACGCAAAATCGCAGGTGGGATGAGAGGAAATCCTAGATGAATTTAGTTCATCTGCGATTTCAGTCAAAGATTGGGGTATTTATACGGAAAAAAAACCAACTGCAAACGTACAAGTCGCTAAAGCACGACTGTGCTTTAGCGACTTGTACGTTCGCAGATGGAATGCTAAAATC